GAGAGAGAGAGAGAGAGAGAGAGAGAGAGAGAGAGAGAGAGAGAGAGAGAGAGAGAGAGAGAGAGAGAGAGAGAGAGAGAGAGTGCGCGGGTTTCAGTCCGTCCGCAAGGGCGATGACGAGGGCTAGACTTCTTTCCTCAGTACGGACGGAGTGATCATAACGTAACAGCGAGAAAGAGCAAATACAAGTCATTACCATTTACTTTCACAAACTAACTCCAAACGAACTCGTTGAGGGAGTAATTTGTTGTTCTATTTTTCCCTTTCCAGAAGAGGAGCTCACAATTCGTCCTTGCTGTTTGACTGTAGGAGGACATCAAACGAGCTTCCAAGACGAGTGGCTTCGGGAGGCGGAGAAGAAACTCGAAGGGAATCGACATACTGGAGCCCTCTTCTGCTGCCGTGTGTGAAATTGCCTAATTCTCTGCCAGAGTTCACACGCACACGCAGACAGACACGCACACACACACACACACAGAGAAAGAGAGAGAGAGAGAGAAGCCAGCATTGAGCGGGGATCAAGTTGCTTGATTTCGGATTGGGCGGGAATCACCCACCGCCATTGCCATCACTCGTCGCCATCGCCGTCACCTTGGCTGCCTTTCGCCATGAGAGCTGTCGTCCAGCGCGTGCTATCGGCTCGAGTAGAGGTACGAGCTGAACGAGATAACCGAATGCTACCGGTATCATTTTCTGTTGATGATTCCTCGTTTGAATTTCGTTTTCAGAAACACATTGTTTATGAAAAAGAATACTTTTTTTTTGTTGGATGGAAAAAAAGAAGACTGACCTGTATGCAAAGCGAAGTGATGTCAAGAAAAAAAGAAAAAGAAAATGACAAATACGGAAATGGAACGATTTTGTGCGGAAAACCCCTTTGTGTCTATTAGTGACTGGAGTGTTGCCTCGCAAAATCATCGGTTGAATTAGGCTCGGAAGCACAAAACAACGAAACCGTTTCGAATTCAGCAGTAGTAATCGTTCGGTCTTACCGGAAGAAAATTGCGAGAGAATCACCACCACTACCACACGCATATTTCCCACAAGTTCCCAGTTGAGATTCTTGAAAAACACACGAGTCTGAACCTTAGGGGTGCGTTTTCCTTGAGAAATCATCATGAACGCCGCTCCTCCTGCCAAAAGCCACTCTTTTCTCAATCCTTTGTTTAGCTTTTTCTCATTGCTTCTCCTGCTTCAATCCTCTCTCTCTCTCTCTCTCTCTCTCTCTCTCTCTCTCTCTCTCTCTCTCTCTCTCTCTCTCTCTCTCTCTCTCTCTCTCTCTCTCTCTC